TCTGTCTCTAGACCATGGCGCCTCCTCTGTTAACAAACAAGTAGAATGGCACAAAGGCGCCTCGGCTGATCATGACCATAAAGGCGCCTCGGCTGATCATGACCATAAACAATGTCCAGTCAATCAGTCTTTGTTATAGTCACTACATTCTATTACCTCTCTTTGTTGCATCGACACCAAAGAGAGGAAGAGGAGGCTCTGATTCCTCGTGTCATTTTTCCTACAACAGTCAACAGGATGGAACCAAACGCCCCCAACGGTCGACGAACTGGTACAGTTAACTACTCCGAAGAAGAGCTGGAGGATCTCATGGAGGTGATCGTGGAGGAGCTCCCCATTGACTCGGAACAGTGGAATACTGTTGTTGCAAGGCATGCTGTAAAGTATCCCTTTGATAGAAGCAAGAAATCCATCCGGAATAAGTACAACGCCATCAAAAAAAAGAGGAGCTCAACTGGTAACCCCAACATGCCTAGGTATGTGATGCTTGCCAGGCGCGCCCACTACTTGATTGGAAGGAAAGCGAACCTTGGTACCGGCGAGGAGGACTTTGACATGAAGAAAGGCTTCATTGTTAGTGAGGCTGAGGAGGGTTTGGAGAGGATTCCCTCCGCTGAAGTACAGGAAGGAAGAGCACCGGTTGCACCGGTGATCCAGGCTGGAGACGCATCGACTGTAGAGGGGGAGGAGTCACCCACCATCTTGCCCGTAAAAGTACAGTCTTCTACTCCAAATAAGAGATCTTATTCGAAAGTTCCCGACGCTACTGTATTCAATGAGTACTTGATTAGTCAGCAAGCAAGGGACAAAGAAAATCGTGAGATAGCTTTAGAGCAGTCTAAGATTGCAAAGGAGGCAAGCGAAATTGCTAAGGAGACCAATCTGATGTGGAAGAACGCTCTTGCAATGGCAATGAGTTGCTTCCAGCAATGGCAAAGCACTCAGCTCCAGCCTCCTGTTCTTCAGAACACCGGAACGAACAACGACAACGCGGTTCTTCATGACAGAACCAACAACGACGACAACGCTGCTGCTTCTTCTTACCAGTCGTCCGCCGACAAACGCCCCGGTACTAGTGCCACCATTGGCGAAGAATCCCATGGTGAAAACAACTAAAAAGGAGACAACATCGGTTAGTTTGCTTAAGCACTAATTCAAATGAACTGTAGTACACGGATTGTAATCAACTTAGTGAGCCTTGTGAGCCTAGTACAGACTGTATGAGTCGACTGCATGCAAGCAGTATTCCTAGCTGTCGAAGTATGCTATAGTAGGGATTGTACTTGTATGGGTTTTTGTGCATACCAATGTGGGATTAGAACAGGATTTTGCTAAATAAAGCGCGTGGGGATTCCCACGAAAACCGCGGATTCCCACGAAAACGGTCCAAAACGATTCGGATTGGCATTCACATATAGGCTTCCTCGGCATGCACATACTTCGTATCATACCCTCTTCTTCATTGTATTATAACGATCACGTGATATTCATTACAGTATACATTGAAATCTTCAGCAGCATTGCTCTGTTTCAACGGACGTTGGACAAGGTTCACACAAAAACCGATCCTTTCGCAGTACGTACTGGATCAACAGCTGTTTCACGCAATACACAGTAACACTACATGGTTACACTGAGTGAGCAGCTGACACTCATACTGTACCGAAAGCGGATAAGCAAACAACAAGCAATTCAACAATGGTTAAGGAAACTAACCAACTAACCATTGGATAAGATCCACCATGGTGAAGATGGTGAGGTGAGAATGGTAAGCGCTTCGAGGATGGTAAGCGTCGAGTCGTTCTTTGTTGCACGTGCGACGATCGATTAGTTTCGACGCTTGTTTATTCCCATCGTCGATGCTTGTTTATTTCGGTCAACCGCTAATTACATTGAATCTAATTACATTTAATCTTTAACTGTTAACCTTTAACTGACCATGGGAATCACCTGAAGAAGACGTTGTTTCCATGGGGGGATATGTCACGTCCTACGTAGAAGAAACCCTTTGCAAGATCATTCTTCTTGTATGGTTGTCCCGCGTCGGCCTCTGTTGCCGCTGGCGTCCTCATGAAGGTTGATAGGATCTGGTTGTGCCCTACAGTACTGCATTGGTAGTTGTAAAGGTTGATCAACAAGCTCATGATGATCTTCCTGTCTCCATGCTCCTCCAAGAACATCCTGTCTTTGATTCGTGGAAACTGTCCCTGGATCATCCTCATCCCCCACTCGGACATCTGTCTCAGCGACGTYGCGTCCCTGTTGATGAGGAGGAGATCCTCCTGTTCAGGGTCRTGCTGTGAGCTTTTGATGAGGATATTCTCCCTTTCCTTCAAAGCAAATGCCGAATCTACAACAATCTTTGCCCCATCACACCTGTGATGGACCTCCTCAATCCTGTCGTAGACCCCATGGTCTGCAATGGCGCTGTCGTGCCAAGCCCCGGGACAGTTGAAGACTGAAATCCTGATCCTACCATCAGGCGCAAACACAAAAACACTGTTGACAAAGGTGTTCTCCTTCCAGGCGTTGTAGAAGGCTCTCTGTTTGAACCAGTCCTCAGATGCTTCAATGGCGCTCTTGAGACCATCAGCAGCACCCCATACTTGTTTTTCTCCAAGCCTTGGATACTTCTCTCCAATAGCCTTAACATAACTATCCACTTCTTCCTTTGTTGGGACACTCACCATGGACTCTGGACGCTTGTGAAGAGCAACAAGCATAACTCTCCTTGAAAACTTGAGCCACTTATACATCACTGTCGATGTTAATCCAAAGGCCATTCCCATTGACCTTGCTACAGATCCACGTGTCCTGTACCAATACAGCACTAATCCAATGGCACAGACTGCATCGACCTCTCTCTTCTTCCCCTTGGGCTTCCCACTGGGGAAACAAGGAACTTCCACAATTTCATTGTCGGCGTTCACTGTATACTTGTTCCATAGTGGTGCAAACACATCAACAAGCTCCCTGAAGACCTTGTGGTCTACACCACAGCAGTTGAGCAGTGCCTGCTCATCCCCTGAGTGGAAGAGATGGAGGAAGGGGGAATGAGCATATCTCCTGATTGCAATTCGTGGTGTTCTCCTGTCTCTCCTACGACGCTCCTCGGGAGAGAGCTTTTGCCTGTAACTTTGGTTATTCAGATGAATGTACCAGTACATCGTGATCACTTCCACTACTCCCATTGTC